CACTTTGTGTTGGTCTTTCACGTGGAATTCCAATAAAATTGATTCATGTTTGTGGCTGTAATGTGACAAAATGTGGGAAAGTTCAAGGGGGCCGAATACTTTTGCAAGCCACTGTACCTGCTCAGTAAAGGATAAGAGATGGTGGTGCATATGGTGCTTCTCGCCTGTGGGGAATAAATACATTTCCCTCTATGTTTTCCCACCTGTGGGACTTTCAGAGAATCACTCCCTCACTTACATCTACACGGGACTCTCCAAACCTGTTGGACTCCCGGGCATCCACGAGTTCACAGCCATGGGTTTGCTGGACGACAAGATGATCGACTACTTTGACAGCGAGAATCAGGCAAAAATTCCCAAACAGGAGTGGATGAAAACATGTGTACCTGAGAATTACTGGAAAGAAGGCACACAGTCCCGCAAGAACAAGCTGCAGTGGTTTAAAGAGAGCATCAACATTCTGATGCAGCAAATGGGACAGAATGATTCCGGTAAGATCCCAAAAATGTGAAGGATCAATGAAAAAAATCAACAAAACAGAATTTATATCAAAGCATGCTTTAGCCTTAAATTAGGTTAAGATCAAATGTTAAAAGTTTTTTAATCATTTGACTTGTATTCAGGTTTCACCCACTGCTTCTTCTTTCCTTTGAGTGTTTATTTTTCAGTTTCCTTGTTCTTTATTTCATCCTCCCTTCTTTTAGTCCTGCATGTTCTTCAGTGGATGGTGGGCTGTGAGGTTGAAATGCAGCCTGGTGGCAAGCTCAAGTTTCTGCAGGGATTTTGGAAGTACAACTACGATGGAGATGACTTCCTGTACTTGGATAATAAAGGCCAAGAGTGGGGAGCTGTGAATTATGTGGCAGAACTCACCAAGAGAAAGTGGGACCACTACTGGAATGCTAAAGGCTACACCAAGAACTACCTGGAGAACACCTGCATTGATTGGCTGAGCAACTTATTGAATTGTGGGCAACAGCAGCTTAGAAACACCTGTATGTATGACTTAAAATCATAAAATTAAATTGTAGAAGTTTTAATATAAATTAACAAACTTGAACAAAAAATGGGAAATATGGGACACCACATCACTGTCTGTATATACACACATCTTTAAAAAAAAAAAAAATTCCCCACTCACCCTGCAGGCGGTCTATCCTTCAAGCGCCGGTCCTCTACCAGAGGTCTGGGAGCTTGAGGGTCCTGTGCAGTATCAGACAATATAATCTTGACAACATAAGACACGCAGCATGAAACGCATAAAGGGCAAAAGGAGACTAAAACACAGGGGTAAACTGAAACTGACCAAAACCAGAGCAAAAGTCCCACAAAAAAGGTGCAAAAAGTCTATGAAAGGCACTAAAGCTCAGGAGATGGTTCTTAAAACTTTCAGGGGGCCGACCTGGAGGGTGACGGCACAAAAGTCCACAGTTAATTAGTTCGGGGGGCCGTCTTGGAGGTTGACAGCACAGCAGTTCATAGTTCAATGGGTCAGGGGGCCGACCACGTGGAAGGTGGCAGTGGGGAAGCAGGTATGGCTGGCCACACTCGAGCGGCTTGGCTCGTGGCCAGCGGCGACGTGGACGAGACCTGTCAACATTCTCTGTAAGATTAAGGTCGACTATTGAACAGCGTAAATTTGAAAGTAAAGGCTTTAAAACCAAGTTAACGCTGAAAGTACAAACATCACTAATGTCACATAACTTTGCCGACATGTGGCCAACAGTAATGTTTTAATGTTCATTATTGAACATTCGCACATAAATAAGTGACATAATATTTAGTACTTACTTTTGACAGTTCACTTTTTGGCCGCTCTGCTTCAGCTGTCTGCCGTATTTTTTGGCAAAATTATCCACACCCACCGCCGCGCTATGGATTGTAGGATATATGGGACCACGAAGTGTACACCAGACCACACTTCAAATTTGGGGAAATCGACGGTGCATTTGGAATACTCTTCGGATTGGGACAGCCGTCGTTGCGTCGCTGTGACGTAATAGGTCTCAAAATGCGTACTCTGAAGGATTGGGTCACTGGATTGGGACACAGCCTAGGAGTGCAGTCAGCTTCTTCAGCCAGTAGGTATGAACCATGTCGGGGCCGTGCTGTCCAACTCTTCATACTGGAGACCCTTTCTTGGATGTCTGCCACTGTGATGGTTACTGGACGCTGCTCGGGGAGGTTACTGTCGTCTGCTCTTAGATCCACTATCCACTGAGCTTTTCAGTTATAGGCTGCGTCCTTCTGCTCTTCTTGTATTGTTCTATCCCCAGCCTTGGTGGTGCTGTTCTCATATTGGTCACCTGCCACTGAGAGTACACCTTGGATGGTGCTGTGAAGAACAGCTGATTTATTCTCCTGCCTTGTATTTCTCGGGTATACCTCTTCACGCGGCTGGCCAAGGCTGTGAGTCTTTGCTGGACAGTTTCCAAGGCCTCAAGTATGGACAGCTTGCTGTAATTCTAAGGCACCTTCTTCATCGGGCCTTTCCGCAGCTCCAATAGTAGGCTAATTTCCCTCCCTGCTTCCTTGATCTTGGCCTCTATTCTCCTTCTCAAGGGAGGGTACTGCTCCTTGTGGCTGTTCATCTTGTAGCCAAGCATGTTGCTGATCACTGCTGCTGTGGTGTATCAGAATCAGAATACTTTATTGATCCCTGGGGGAAGTTATTTTTTGTTACAGTGCTCCGTTATAAACCAACATTAACAAGACAGACAATACACTAACTAAGAATAGTACTGTGTGTGTGTGTGTGTGTGTGTGTGTATGTATGTATGTATGTATGTATGTATGTATGTATGTATATATAATAGATCAGCTAATTAGTCTTGGTAGTGGTCGCAGTAGGTATTGTCCATTGTGCTGCATTCAAATCATCTAGTAGATTTTCCAAGGGTACCCTCATATAGTCTTGGTAACTGGTTATGGAGGCACACAGGACCTACATGGCCCTGTGTGGAAAAAATGATTGCTCCTATACCTAATAACTAGTTGGGCAAGCACTCTCTGCTTGAGAGCAAAAAAAAAAGAAAAGAAAGAACACTCCTTTCCTATTGGTGTTAAGATAGACCATGTTGACCAATCAAAGAATTATATGGCAACATTCAATTCAATT